TTTTTTTTTTTTTCCTTTTCACTTCGGTGTCAGTTCAGGAAGCCCCTCGGGAAGCCGCTGGGCAGCACTTCCCCTAATGGAGCCGTGGAGCATGCGCCTGGCTTTGTCTGGCCTCTCCTTCGGCCGGTTCACCTTCCCTACCACCACCACCACCCTCAGAGCACGCACACCTTTAGCGTCTCCCTGGCCTGGGGAAGGCCCCTCACGTTTCCCCCCCCCTACACACGACCCCCTCAGCAGAGCCCAGGCCCCTTCACCTTTGGTGCGCGCCTGTGGCTCTTGCTGACAGACTTAAACGGGGTGGGAAGGGAGAGGAGAGGGGTCCTCCGTCGTTCCGGAGGGGCGCTTCCTGAGGGGGAAAGAAGGGAGGTGGCTGGGTAGCCACCCCATTTCTCCCCCGAGCAACCCTTGGGCCTGGTCAACAACAGCAGTCAGACCCCTGAAGTGGCCCCTGTGCACCTTTTTGAGAGAGCCTTGTCTGCCTGTGGCTGCTACCAAAGGTTTGGAGCACATTTGCTCTTTAGTTAATCCTCTTAACAGTCCAAGCAGTAGCAGAGAGGAACTTTCAGGGACTGTTTGTGCATACAGATATTTAAGGCTACTTCATTATCTTGCCATTTCTCATAGGATGTTTATGTATGTCCCTACAGTCTGTGGGATGTCTGTCACCTTTTTTTGGTGGAAGTGGTTATTAGTGTGAGGAAAAGCTGCAACGTTGTGAAGTCATCTTAGTGCTGAGTGATTAGAGTGTTAGCTGTCATTCTGATGCCATTGTATCCAGTCCCAAGTTCAGTCCTTGGCATCTTCAATTACAAGCCTTGATCTCAGATATCAGGGCTGGGAAAGACATCTGCTGGAGACCTTTGGAGAGCAGTCACCAGTTAAAATACTCAGTGTATCAATGCATTGATTTGATTAAGTGCTCAAAAGCAGACAAATAATGAGCTGTAGTGTTATAAGCTGATTGCTAACCAGTATGCTGGCTATGAGTCAGGAGATCTGGGTTTGAATCCATACTGAGCCATGGAAACTCAGTGGGGGGAGGTGGAGCTAGTAAAACCACTCCCACTTTGAAAATATCCCAGTTACCTTGAAAATCCTGTTAGGGTCGCTGTGAGTCAGTTCTGACCTAAAAGCACATAACACACAATGTTACATGCATCTGTATGTACCTATATATACAGTAAGGGGTGATTGAAATGTCACATCAGCCTCTATGCAGAGGCTGCCATAAAACTTCCCAGGGTTGTTCCAATGTTTCAACAGTTTCTATGTATGTTGGCCAAAATACATTTTCCTGCTAGTATTGTGCATCCTGTATAGTCACTGTCATTTGTGTGGACTGCTGCACAGTATGCACTTCAGAAAAATTAAAACATTTGCTTGCTGCATAGTGTAATCATTGGAAAGTGCTTTTTGGCAGAATTCATATAGGGCCTGTTTTGCTTAAACTACTGCTTAAACAGCAGAAATTAGAAATTTGCTGACTCATCTTTTGTGTAAAACTCTTAGGAGTAAACTTCTTAACTAAGACTTTGAGCTTAGAAGTTTAAAACAAAAACCTTTAACAAAAATAATTCTGTTGCCTTTATTTCATTGTTAATCTTGTAGATAGTAGGATCTTAGTAAGCTTTCTAAGAAGGAAACAGGTGAAGCTGGACCTCAGGTTCACATTGTGTCCTAATCAAGTTATGGAACTATATCATGATTTGACTTGCTCACGAAGCCTTTTTAAGACACTGAGAGGCCTGGGGCAGAATGTCTGCTTGAGCTGCTCCAACTGTCATTTTGTGTCAGTTGATCAGTTACTCTTCCATGGGTGAGCCCCATCATATGTAAAGCCTGAGGTAATTGCCCCATGCCCGCATTTAAGGGGCTTGACTTGCTGAGAAAAGGCCAGCATAAACCAATCTTCACAATGAATTACTTACCCCATTGGGAGGATATTTAGAACTATAAAAGACATTGCAGTGCTAGGCATAAATTATAGGGTATGTTACATTATTATTTTCTTCCTCCTTTTTGTATGGAAGGTTCTGTCTTTTATGCCCAGGATTCAACATTCACGAGACACCACTGATTCAGTTTGTAGAACAAGCATACATGATTGAGGTCTCATATAACTTTTTAGCTCATTACTAAATAATAGTTAAATGATCATCTATTTTGTTTTTATATCAAGCATATATTGTCCTTGCAAATATCTAATTAATTAATTAATTAATTCCATTTATACCCCGACTATCTGTTCATTACGAACACTTAACCAATGTGCCAGAGAGTCAGCTGGGACTTTTTAAATATGATTCAGTAAAGTCCTTCCTAATTAAAAAATAAACAAATACAATGTTAAACTTATGATCCAGATATCACAGATTATTATATTACTTAGTATAGAATGCAAGCGGGGCTTTGGAAATCAGACAAAACTGCCTGTTTATCAATGCTTACTAGTACGTTTTTCCTGTTTAATTTTGCTTTTGCATTTTATAACAACATTTATGACATTACATAAAAATAGACTATCCCTTTTTTGTTTTTAATTGTTACAATTGCTGCATGAGAATAGTCACATAGACAGAAGCTGATAATAGCAGAGTACAGTTTTACTACTGATCTTGTACAGATTCTGGTCTGTTAAATACTGGTTAAAATAGCTGTCTTCTCTACTTTTTCCAGAAGTAATTTTGTTTTGCGAAAGGAACAAATGCAGGTCTAAGTAACTCAGTGCCACTTCATCCAAGAAAGCAGCAATGTGGCAATCTCTGGAATGCAACCTATGCTGCTTAGCATATATATGTTTTGTAAAGCATGGAGTATGCTTGGAGTCCTGTGATATTAAAACTTTTGGTGTAGATACTCTTTTATCCTTAATAATATATATATATATATACAGAAAGGCCGTGAACTTTTAATTAGGTATTTTCAGTCATTTTTAACTGTATTGTTATATGTGTATACCTTGCAACTTTGATAGAACACAATGAGAATGTGTGGGCTAGAAGTTGCTGGGGAGTGTGCTAAAAGTGACTGTATGGAGAATTATAGTTATCCTGGTATTCATTTGGGCTGAATACAATGAGACTAATTTATGTTAAAGTAATTGTTTTCTCTTTTCTCCTTTTTCTGAGTCCCAGATCTGGAAAGGCTCTGAAATGAAGCTGGAGAAGATAGTTGTCAAGATAGGTGAGTATCCTTCCAGTCATACTTAAATATTTTTCATACTTTTTTATATAGTGCACAGTGGTGCCCCACTTGACAATTACCTCGTTGTACGATGAACCCGCTGTACAATTAGTTTTTTGTGATCGCAAAACGATGTTTCAGTGGGTTTTTCCCTTTGACGACAATCGGTTCCCTGCTTCGGGAACCGATTTTTCACTTTATGATAATCAAAAACAGCTGATCGTTAGGTTTTCAAAATGGCCATCTGCTGTGCAAAATGGCTCCCTGCTGTGTTCAGGACGGATTGCTCGCATTTCAGGCACCACAAAATGGCCGCCATATGGAGGATCTTCGCTGGACTGTGAGGTATTTCGCTCATTGGAACAAATTAACTGGTTTTTAATGCATTTCAGTGGGCCTTTTACTTTTGCTTGACGACGATTGCCTTCTACAGCAATTTTGCTGGAACGAGTTATTGTCATCAAGCGGGGCACCACTGTATTTGTTATACATATATAGTGATACATATATGTATCTATCGTGATCACCTCTGAAGGCCCTGTTCTCCTGGCCTTCACAAGGTTCTCGTTCTTCCTACCTCTTCACTGCCACCAGATATTAATGCTTTAATATCAATTAAAATTTAGGACACATGTAATGCCAAAACATAAGTCTTTTATTCAACAAGGGAAAATAGCCGCCTAGAGTGGTCGAAATGACTAGATAGGTGGGGTATAAATACAATAAATAAATAAAAAATAAAAATAAATAAGATAATAATCATCAAAGATTCATAGGATAAATTACAGGTTGCAAATCACTTATATTGAATCAATTAGAATATCATTTCTCAACTCTTTTAAACCTCTACTTCAGTTTCCACTCTAACAGTTCTCTAACTCGCTCTTCATTACTCTTAAGCCCCACACAGTCTAGACCCTCTCCTCTCCACCGGTCTTTTTATCTTGCTCCCTTCCCCCCTGGATCTGCCTTCCATTCTCCGATTGGCTCCTGTGTCAATGTTCCGCAGTAACGGGCAGGTGAGGTCAGGGCTGTTTGCTACAGTATCATTAGAAGCCAGCAACATTTAAAAACTAATGCAGCAAATCCATTGTGAATCCCAGTGTAAGGACCAGTCTAAAATATCCTCCTAAACAAAAGCATGCTGAACTAAGTGTCATTTTCTCCTTAATGATGGGGAAGACAGCTACTGTCTGAATATACTGAGAAAAATTCCCACAAACTGCATGCTATCACCAAGAAGGCATTTCATATCCACTTGCCGTCTCGCAAGTAACAATCAGATATGAGGCAGTTTCTTTAATAACAGACTAAGGACACAAGCAGGTATAAAAAGAGAGGCAATACTTCTAAAATATTCAGGATGTAAACAGCTAAAACTTTTTTTAATTGGGGAATGAATTGGTAATCCTTGATGATATAGTTATCTGTGCAGTGAAATCAAAATGCTGGTATTTGGCTACTAGTTACATGTTACCAAGTGACCGTCAATTTTTTCTGTGCTCTAAAGCTTACTGGATGAATAACAATGAAAGTAGAAGTCTTGTGTTTCTTGTAATTTAAGAATTGAATGAGGTGCCATTGTATGAAAAATCAACAATACCTTTTTGTTCAGTGTTGTTGGAAGAATATTTTGACTCTAGTAGGATCTTAACTTGAAAGTATTTAATTATTCAATCATTGCATTTAGATTACTACTAGATATCTCAGTGGTTTTAGGCATCTGGCTATGGTGCCGAAAGTTGGAAGTTCAGTTCCACACGGTGCCTCCTTGACTAGTTGTTCAGTTTAAGTAACCACAATTTCCTTTATTTGGATGAAAGAGAAACAATCTCATCCACTTATACTTAATGGAAGGCTTTTTAAATTGTGTGCGAACTAGACTGTAAGTTGGAGAAGATGTCTGGATTTAGATTTTCTTAACAAAAGTTTTGATAAGGAAAATGAAAAATATTTTAAAGTGAATGTTATTTTTCTTTGTACAGGATTTCATAGAACGCTGGCTTCCTTCTTCCAATAATCTTTTTTCATGTGTGGTCTCATTTAGAATGATGAAGTCAACATGGTACGTGAAAACTTGGTTCTGGCAAAGTTAATTGATTTAACAGGATACCAAATATATTCAGATCATTATTAGTTTCAGAGGTAGATTTTTTCTTTGTTTCAGATAAAGGGTTATATGTATTTAGAATAATGCTTTTGTTTTACCTTCACCTCTAGCTTGTTGAGGAGAGACCGTGTCTGATAGAGCTTGCTACTTCAAATGTTCATACTTTGCTGTTTTGAGCTACTAGCCTTTGCTCCATGCATAGTGAGTTTCACAAAATTTGAAATTGGAATATATTACCAATGCAGTCCAGATTTGTCCTAAAATCTGAATTTTTAGAATTCGGAGAGCAGACTATGGTAAACTATCTGGAGGAATACTGATCTACAAAATAAACAAAGGGATGATCAGGCTGGTATTTCTGTATGTGACTGTGTGTGCCATGTGTATATGTATTGTCCTCTAAAGTAATTATGCCCACCAGTGGTAAAAACAGCTTTTCCAATAACAAGCAAAATTTAGGTCTTACATTTAGGATTGGTTAAAATGAAAGTACTGTAATTGAATTGCTTCAATGTGATTAGTTCTTTTAGTGTGGATTTATCATAGGAGATACCGTATTTTTCGCTCCATAAGACACAGTTCCCCCCCAAAAAAAGTGGGGGGAAGTGTGTACGTCTCATGGAGCGAATACTGTAAAAAAGGGTTCAAACCCTCTTCAGCCACCACCACCCAGAACCTCCCACCGCTGTGCTGGGAGACCTCTGAACTGGCACCAGAGGCTGCTTGCCATGGCAGCCGCATTGAACATCGCCACTCTGCCATCTGTGCTGCTGGCGTTCCAGGATCTGCCTCCTGGAGCCAACCTGGAAAGCCAGCAGGGCCAGTAGGCCTATGGCAGCAAGTTTAAATGGCAGAGGGCAGTGAAAACAGCCAAGGACCAAAGGG